GAAAATTTGTCATAGCCCCCACTGCCCACCCGGAGCACAGCCCAATGCAGCCCTGGCCCTGCCCGCCTCACCCCATGCAAATTTGGGGGCACATGACCCCCCATGTCCTCCCAGATCAGTGGCAGGAGCAGTGGTGGGAACTGCTGGATGAACTGCCAGATGAGCAATGTGCAGCAATGGGAGCCACCACCCCCACCCCCTGCTGTGCCCACCTGGCCCCGGCTGGGCAGCACTTGCCCCAGCCCCAGTCCCTCCCTCACTGTGGAGTGAATTGATTTGCACCCCCAAGCCCGTTCCCTTCCCCCTCCCCTTCCACCACTTACCAGCTACATGCAGTATTGACCATTGTAAAGGAACTAATCCCCCATTTGTAACACTGTTCCTAGGGGAAAACTGGTTCCAAGTTATGACATTTCAACTTAAGACACGATTTTCAGGAACCAATTGCATCATAAATCTGAGTTCTGTGTCATATTTGCATCATAAACCTGTATTCTGTGTCATATTTGCATTCGGCAGGCTATCATTCTTAGACTGGTGGAATACAGATGTGAAATACTCACTTAGGAGTTCAGTTTTCTCCTTGGTGTTAGTGATCAGATGTTCAGATGCATTGGGAAGTGGTCCCATGTTTTCACTGGTTATCCTCCTGTTACCTATGTACCTATAGAAGGACTTCTCATTGTCCTTAATTTTGGTTGCTAACTTGAATTCGGTCACTGCCTTTGCTTTTCTAATCTGCCCCCAACAGGCATGGGCCAATCTTATATAGTTCTCCATGGGGCCTATTTCTAGCTTCCATCATTGGTTAGTCTCCCTTTTCTTTTTCAGAAGATCTGTGACTTCCCTATTAAGTCAAGATGGCCTTTTGGCCCCTGTGCCACCAGTGCAAAGTATATGGAAAATGCTAACAAGCCAGGATATTATAATTGTATATTTATTTTACATTAGAGCCAATAGCCACCCAGGAGAACGAGTTGTAAAATTAACACTCTTTAATTATTTGTTATTGATTATTAATGATGAATTAATGCTTCTATGCATCTCACAGGTAGACCTTCTACCTGTAGGCTTCAACAGCACTACCCAACTATCTTGTTTTTTATGAGTTGGGTTGGAGTTTTGTTGTGGACATGATGGTTCAGGAAATTTAAGAGAGGCAATTTTTGGTTTTTTGGTATAGCTTTTATTGGACCAACCATACAGTTGGAGAGATGTTGGATAAGTGCTTGGGAATAAAATGCCCTTATTCAGATCTGAGAAAGAAGCAGACACAGGCTAAGCTAATTAACTGAAAAAAGTAATTGTTTAATTTCATGTAAATCAGAGGTATCAAAGATACCTCCAACTATTTGAAGGGTATCAAAGATACCTTTCAACTATTTCATCCAGCTTGCAGGTCTCCTGGAGGGGCTGGGAATTTGGTGATGGGGTCCACCCTCTCCCAGAATTCAGCGGACATGTTTCAACAGTTAAAGGGCAAGTGACAGCTGCATTAACCTCTGTACCATCCCCACTTGTCACTGAAGGTGGGTATGGATTCAGAACACAAGACTTGTTGAGGTCCATATGCAGCCTGGGGGGTCAGGTGAGTCTGACACTCCTGATGTGAGTGAAAACAGTTAGTTAAGGAAAGAAGTAGGCCCCCTCATGCCTAAAGGCTTATGCAACACCTCTCTCAAAAATACAGTAGATCCAATAAAACTTATACCAGAAAACCCTTGCCATGCATCTTATTTCTTGTCACAGTCTTACTGAAACCATAAAACAAACAAAATAAATATAAAAATAAACGTGTTATTTGGCTTGTAGGAAATGTGTGCGTATTACAAAAAAAAATGTCTGGTTTGATAAGTTAGATTTACCTTTTGCAGAGAAAACAGACAAACAACACCACTAGGATTGTTCCAAGTGCTATAAAGATTAACGTTATTGTAAGACTGGACAAATATTCTTCGTTGAAACCTGAAAGGCAGACAGTAAAAAAAGTCAGAAATTATTAGCAAAGCAAGTGGGTTTTTATACAATGATGTCAGATAACTACTTTGATATTTAATAATATTGGCTACAAATATGAAATCTATGCAACATTTAATAATCTGAAGAATATTTTAACCCAGGTGTTTTTCAGGGGATTGAGAAACACCTGGAAGATAAAATTTCCTCAGAAGCAGAGAAGAACACACTCTATGAAGTCTCGGGTTAAGTACAGACAATCAAAAAGCCTGAGGCTGAATTGATTCAATCTTTTCAGGTTTCTGTAAGCTGCTTAGATTGAACTGAGCCAGGACATAGGTGATTTCCCCAGCCATTCCCCCTCTTTAACTTCCATTTAACTTAGGAGGGGACTTGAGGGGGGACTCTCCCACCAGATCCCCAGCTGGGGCCTCCCCAGTGCTGGGGGAAGCAGGGGGAAGGAGGGTAGTCCCCACTGGGGTGTGTGACAGGGGAAATTCACTAGGCTGGCCACAACGCTGGTCTGCCCACCTGTCTACAGCAGTCTGCCCTGTCTCTTCTGCCATGTCTTGCTGTTTTAAAACTGATATAAAATATGGGAGGCTGCTCATTATGTGCCCCAAAGCCTAGGGCATTATACATGGCTCTGACCTCTCCTATACTGTGTCCCATGCCTTGCAGATGGCAACCAAAATCATAAGTCTCCCACAGGCATCCTCGCATGTCCCTGGGCCTCCTGCCCTCTTACTAGGGCCTCCACTTATGCCCTCTCACTAGGGCCTTCAACTTCTCATCCAACTCTTGGGGCCAGCCTGTGTGAAGTCCTTCAGGACCCACTGGCAACCCTACTCTTTGCAGCCCTGTGCAGCACTTCAGGCCCACCTACATAGACCCAGTCTGCATCCATATGTGCAGTCCTTCAGGTTGCCCTTGCAACCCTACTCTGCAGGGCCCTTCCATGCACTCTATACCCCCTCACTAGGGTTACTATTCTGCCCCCTTGCTGAGGCCAACATTACGCCCCCTCACTTGGGGCCACTTTTCAAACCCACTCCACTGGGGCCTCAGGGTCTTACACCCCATGGTGCTCAGGTATATGTAGACATGCCTGGCCCCCTTCCTGCTGGGTTATCAACTAGATTGTGGGGGCTGGGGATATAAGACACCCCATACTTGCCTTTCACTAGGGAGGCAACAAGTTTGGCATTTCCTGGGCACCACCCCACCACAAGCAGCCCCACTACACTATCCATCCCTAGCAGGGTGTAGTTTTAGGTGATGTCCCAGGACCAGGAACCTCCTGCCATCCCCATAGTTCCTGCCTTGTACCTCCAAGATGTTATGTGAGCAGCAGCTCCAGACAGGCAATGTTCCCTCTCCAGCTGCTTGCAGCAAACTTCTGGCTCCCCTGCTCAGGCCTTTTCTTATTGCCAGCATCTGAGCCCTTTTCCCCAATCAGGCAGCTTCCTGATGGCCATGTAACCACTGATTGGGAATGCAACTACCTGCAGGCTGCTCTGTCTAAGCTGTTAAAGTGGCAGGCATCAAAGGTGCTCTGCCACAGGGTGTTTCTCCTTCTCTCTCTGTGCCCAGAGCTGGTCTCTCTAGACATGCCTCCTCCTCAGTCTGGGCTGGATGAGGAGGGTCCAGGGGGGAAACCCCCCCTCCACCCCACACCACAGCCCCCGTGTCTCCTCCCTGCAGGGGGGGGGGGGCGGAAGCTCCCAGCAGGGTGCATTTTCCTCTCTCCCCAAGCCTGGAGCTGGGCCCTTTCTCCATGCCCCCTCCTCATTCTGGGCTGGTTGAGGAGGGGATCTAGGGGGAAACTTCCCCTCTGCTCCACCTGACACTGGACACCCAGCTGGGGTCTCTCTGGTGTGGAGGGAAGCAGGGAAGGGGGAACCTCCCCAGCAGGGCATTTATCCTCCCCCCTGCACCAGGAGCTAGGAATTGGACCTATCACCTAGCCATGCCCCCTCCTTGGTCAGCAGCCGGCTGAGGAGGAAGTGCAGGGGGAATGGCACCCCACCCATCTCTGGATCCCCATCTAGGTTGTGCCAGGTGCATGGGGAGAGGCCCTCAGTGTAGCTGTTTTTCCACCCACTCCCTTCTCAGCTGGCCTGCTGGCTGAGTAGGCGGCATGGCCCAGTGATCGGGCTCCTGGCTGCCAGGAATGGAAAAGTCCCTGTTGGTAGCTGGGTATGCAGCCAGCCCTGCTCCATGGGGCAGAGAGCACAGCCCTGGGCTAAACAGCCTCCTGGGATGCTGGAGGACTGTGAGTTAAGTTGAATTAGGAGCAGGTCTGGGACAGAAGTTCCATAAACTGGTTTGAGCTACATCAGTTAAATAGGATACTGCATTCAACCAGGTTTATCTTCAATGAGTTTCAGCCATTTTAAAACTAGTTTATGTGCATTGAACTTCTGTTCTGTTACAGGTTTAAACTGGTTCCTGATCACTTGAATTGGTTTATGTGTAACTTCTGTCACTAGCCCAGAGGTTTAGGAGGATTCCTCCAGAAGAAAAGGCAAGACAGGAATGGAGAAGGGAAAGACACTGAAGAGGCAAGGAGGAAAAGATAAAGATACAGAAGCAGGAAGAGAAAGAAATATAAAAACACTAAGCCTCCACAGCTTGACTGAAGTACCAACAAAAAGAGTGCAGCTATGCCACTGGTGTCTGAGAGGGACTGTAGTGTTCTCTTGGCCATATGCCATTGCTTGTGTATCCCAGACTCAATATATCACAGTTAGGCTTATTTGGGAGTCCATGGTGGAATGGGAAGAGTAGGGCTGGTGGGGGTAAGTCTGAGGGTTGGGCTGGAGGGACAGCATGGTGCAGGGTTTCAGGGTGTGAAGGTGAGTAGGGGGCCCTAGGTGGGGAGGGACATGGGCGGCAGAACAGTGTAAAAGCATTGCTGAAGTCAAACAGGATTGCCAACCCAAGGCATTTTTTTTCACTGTAAATTTTCTATTGGCAACCAAAGATTTTTACTATGGTTGATGTTAAACCCCTAAAAGTGAACAAAGACTTTCTAACTGGGACCTTGAGGCAGGGCAGGGCCTAGCAGAAAAGTGACATTTACATTATCAATTAAAAACACACAACAGTAAAAAAAAAAAAAAAAAAAAAGTTGGATATTAATAAAACTAAAAAAAAAAAATTCTTTGGGTTGGCAACCTGGCTGGTAAGGACAAAGAAGAAGTTGAAGAGGCCAAAGAAAGAGGAAGGGAGGCAGGGGAAAGAGAAGAAAGAGGAAGAAAGGCCACAATAATGATCTGCTGGCAAAGGAGAACATGGAGCCTGTAAACACCAACTGCTGCTTCAGTCATAACCAGGGATCCTAGTTTTCTCTGATAAAAAAATCCCACATTTTTTTATTTAAAAAAAAACAAACCCAAATCCACATTTTCCCGCAATTAAAATAAAACACCACTAACACACACTAGCTGAAACCTGCAAAACATTTGTGATTACATTTTTATTGCAAAAGTATTTCTTTAAATACAGGATTTCTAGTTATCCTATGACTGAATACTTTAATGGAATCAAAACTTCTCACCTTTGAAAAGGCTACATAAAGGTGTCCATGTGTAAACACAGGCTTAGAAATATAAATACATATTTTGTCTGACCTTGTGACTTGTTTCTAGTCATAGAATAAGAGGCCCTTGTATATGTGACTGAGGGCCCTTGAACATGTGAGGAGATTGCCCCTTTTAGTGGTTTATTTGTCCTTTTTAATGATTTAATTGAGTAACACTGTATGCATTCGGCAGCATGTTACGGTTAAATTTCATAACAGTGTGTATGTTTGGTGGCATATTTCAGTTTAAATGACTTTTTATGTAGAAAAGTAAAACACATGCCATGTATTTTAGTTTGCTATGCAACAAATTACAGTGATATTACTCACGTGTACAATTGCCCTATCCGGAGAAGGTGGTGGGGAGGGTGCATGGGGTGCTGCAAGCCTGGGCATGCTCAGGGAAGCTCAGCCTTGGTGGGCTTCCAGTGCCCCATCCCCACCATCTCTTCTGGCTGCCAGCACACCCAGATACCCTCCTGCTGCCTTCCTTGGACAGCCAATCCATTCCTGGGTGATCCCAGATGGAGGGAAGGCGGCAGAGTTGGTGCACGGGGCGCTGGAAGCCCACCAAGCCCAAGCTTCCCCAAGCACACCCAGGCTTCCAGTGCCCCATGCACTGTTGGATTTGGTGGGTGCTGCCTGTGAGCTAGGGATGTATCTGTGTATCTAGCACCTTGCCTGGGCAGCCCTAGGGGCACTGCCACTAAGGAGGGAAGCACTGGGGCCCCCCACAGCTCAGAGGCTGCATGACCCAGTAGCAGGTCACGTGGGCAGGATCCACGGAGAAAAAAAGCCAAAAATGTGGTGAGGAGCCTGATCTTTTTTTTTTTCCCCTGGAGCCTGCCTGCATCTTCCACGGCTGAGGAGCAAGCTGCCAGCAGGTCATGCAGCCCCCAAGCTGCAGGGCATCCCAATGCTTCCCTCCATGGCAGTAGTGCCCACTGGCCAGCACCCATCCACTTGCACCCCACCTGGGAAGTCCCGGGGATGCCGCCACTATGGAGGGAAGCACCGGGGTCCCCTGCAGATCAGGGCCTGCTGGCAGCTTGCCCCCCACCCCATCCCCTGGCTGCAGGAGAGGTGGGCAGGCTCTGGGGGGAAAAAAAGGGATTGGGCCCCTCACCACTTTTTTCCCCCACCCTTCAGTGGTGCTGGGGGGCCCAGTGCTTCATTCTAGCTCTGACTTGCTTGCATATCTGTTTGAAATGCCTTAGGATCTATCATAATACCACACTCATTCTGTCTGTCTGGAGCACTCTGATTGGTTGTTTCAGTAAGCATTGTGGTTGGCTGCCAAGGCAACCAATCAAAGTGCTCTGGACAGACAGAATAAGCATATTTGTATATCTCTATATAAATATATATATAAATATACACACATACATGTATATATATTTAGTGGTACTTCATTTTAATCACAGAACAATGTGAATTTTGGGGGTTTTTTTAAATCAGAAAATTTGGGATTTTTTTTCTCAGAGAAAACCAGGATCCCTGGTCATAACCATCTAGGTTCTTACATTAGCTTCCCTTCTCCTACTATATGAAAGCTGCCCCAGTACTACAAGACAAACCTATCCTCTCTCTTCATTACCAACTGGAAAAAGAAAGAAGAAGTGGCTTAACAGAATTAATATATCTGTGCCTCTGTGAATACAAGATGGCAAGTGAGGTAGATAGGGGACTACTGGGATAAAATTAGGTTAAGAACTTTCAGTCTTTCATTCTTACCAAACTCAACTGGTTTGCTCCACTCCCCCCATTTTTCGCTTAAGAGACACGTTTCTGAACGGGCTCTGATTTGCAAGAGGTATTTTTTCTTCACATTGAAGTTTTCAAATGTGTAGGTTTCCTGGTCTACCTAAAACCAAAACAATTATGGGGAACAAAAATACTCAATCTCTGTATAGATGTTAATAATGTGCAAGTTTGCATTTATGATCTGAGCTTTACATGAAGAGCATTGTTATTCCATGGTGTAAAAAGAGTATGGTTAAATGTCAGAACTATGCCTTAATAAATTAGCCCATCCTCCCACTGACATTTTTCATTTTGGAAAATATTTTTCCTCCATTAAACTTTGAAAGATCACAACCTGCATTTTAATTCTTGTGCTCTAAGGAGACTTCTTGTTCCCCTTGCTTGCTAATAGCTCTTTAACAAAAGTAGAAGAAAAGGAGATGGATTTCTATCAGTTTGTTTTATTAGAGATTTGCAGGGTTAGGTGATATTGAGAAGAGTAAACTTTCTATACCCTCCCAATGCTCTTCACTGTCTGTCACATGTTATTGCTTGAGGCCATCAAATGGTTAACATACTATCATGGCATGTGTTAAGTGAACTACAGCTCATGAAACCTTGTGATATCTATATCTATATGTGTGTGTGATACAGAATAATCAAAGTGTGTGTGTGTGTGTGTAAGGTGGAAATCTATCCTGCCTTCTCATATATTTTATGGATGGAGGTGGGATCATAGGGCAGATTGTTCTACATAGGATGGTTATGGTCCTTATTTAAACCTCACTCAAAAGCATTCAAAAGTGTCTCAAGCATTGAACGTTTTCTTAGATTTATTTAAATTGATGTGAAGGAGGGAAAGAAAAAGGAAGCTTGCCATCTTTCATAGAAATTGATGTGTCAAATTATGCCCATAAAACAGCCGTTTTTGTTGTGGAAAGTTCTACCTTTGACTAAAGCACATGATTTGTCCTAGAGCATCCAGTTACAAATCTATTGATTATCACTTAAGCCTAAAATGTTGTATATTTAAGAAACTTGTAAATACAGATAGAGCATTACATGTTCAGTTTTGTAGTATTAACATCAAACCCTTTGTGCGTTAGGAATAATGACCCTCTGATAGATTGAACACAATGCCAGCCATAACTGGAAATTAGTATGGGAGGAGCAATACTTACAATTATAGAAGGAACTTTGTTTCCTTTGTTTGGATCAACCTGACAAACAAAGAAAATGGTTTTTTACATGATTTATGATGCAATACAAGCCAATTTCTTCCATTAGCACTACCTTGCTTGACCAGTGCAGAAGAAGGTGCAAATAGAATGTAAAATATCTTAGCTGTGAAGAGTATGCAATAGGTTGTACTAGAGAAATGATATTAGTATCATCCCACTGCTAGAGTTGTGCAAATAATGATTTTTCAGTTTGGTGGATCTCTGGGGCTCACTTTCCTCTGACCTCTTTGATTTATCAGGAATTGTGGGGGGTAGGGGGGGGACTTGAGGAAGAGTAAAGCCAATCTCCTGGATCTACAAGTGGCTGCAGTTGAAGATCTTCCTCTCCCCCCTTTTTTTCTACAGGCAATTTCATCTTTCTCCTTTCATTGGTTCTGTTCCCCAAGTCCTTATTCAATATGAGGATGACAGCCTTCCAATAAATAAGGAAGTAAATAAGGAAGTCATTGGTGAGTCCAGAGATGACTGAGGAGGCTGATCTGAGAACTATACGTTTGCCTGGAGATGTGGCAGATGGTTCTGGGACGAAAAAGCAGATCCTGGTGGTGTCCAGTCACAACACTTTCCTTTTGTCTCTCTCATTTATCCACCTCCAGTGAAGTGAGTTTGCTCAAAATGATCAATGCCTTGTCTTATATCATGGCACCAATAAGGATGTTTCAGTACTTAAGGCTCTTGTGTATTGATGTTAGTACTGCATTTCTTCAGATTGGCCTTCAAGATGTTCTTGCATCTCTTCTTTTGCTCACCCCTAGAGTAGTAACCTTCAATAAGTTAGGAGTACAGGATCTGTTTTGGGAGATGGTTGTCAAGTATCCTTGTGATATATACTATCCAGTGGAGCTGGTATCATATAAACATGGCTTCAATGCTGATGGTGTTTGCTTGAGCCAGAATGCTGGCATTCATTTTTCCGTCTTTCAGCTTGACGCAGACAATTTTCTGAAAACACTGCTGAGAGTAACATTTCAAGACTTTCAGGTATCTCTGGTATGCTTTCCAAGATTCTGCCAGTTTCCAAGCTTCTGCCAGTCCCCGTTTCCCTCTCTGTGCCCCTGCTGGTGGCTTTCACCATTGGCCAGGGGAGTTCCAGCAGGTGAGACCCCCTAGGGTGTTCCAGGAGCAGGGAAAGCTGAACAGGCTGAAACAGGGAAAGCTGCCAGGGTTCCCTGGAGCCTGCCCACAGCTCCCAGAACTAAGCGAGGGTGGGGGAGCAAAGGGTAGGATGAGAAGCTGATTCACAGCCTCTCTTCCCAGCTCCACCTTCTCCGGTTCACCTGTTCTGTTGCTGTACAGTCTCCTGCAGCCCCAGAAAGCTGCAGCACACCTCCTGCCTCTTAGCCTGGAAAGCTCAGGGATGCTCAGAGCCCCCCCCCCCCCACCAAACACTGTACTTCTGTAATGTTTAAGCGTGCTGTAACTTTAAAGTGCTATAAAAATGCTCTAAATTACAGCACTGTAAAATGTACATGGGGCACATCTGTACACACCCTGAGTTATAAATGATACATGCTTAAGCTGGTACACAATCACTAATCAACAAAGCTACTAGAAGTGCACCAATAAAGATTTTTTGGGCCAATACCAATGACTGATTATTAATGAGCCATATCGGCTGATACTGATCCGATTGCTGATATGCAGTCCGGCAGCTTGGAAATCAGCGTCAGGCTAGTAAGTCTGATGGGGGATGGGGCATTGGGGAAGGAAGGGGCATGGAGGGGGCAGATTGAAGCTCCCAGGGGTGAGGGAGGGAGTGGGGTTCGGGCTAGAGCAGGGGCAGGCAGTGCACAGCTGGGGTGGGGCAGGGCATGGAACAGAGCCACAAACAGCTCATCCGGGGG